TCCATTATTTCTCTAATTTTTAATATATATATATATATATATATATAAATAAATTTGGTCTAATTTTTTGCCCTATTAATTTTATTTTAACTTAATACTCTTTCGGAAACTTTCTGTCTAGAAGAGGCGGGCTACTGTGAACAGGGGGCTAAAGTGGACTAGCTGTTCCCAATTTCTTTTGGCATTGGAACCCTGCATAATCGACCTTCATTTGGCAGAATCTCAAGACTTATTTCATGAGCAATTGTGAATATAATAATTAACAAAAGACTCTTACTTATTTTGAAAACACGTAATGTTCTAATTTTTTCAATTACTTTGAAAACATTTAATGAATAAATGAAAAATAATACTTTTTCATCATACTGTTGGATTTTATATCGGACAGTTGAATTCCCAGGTCTTATTGTTAGTCCAGTTCTCAATTTGATTTTAATGCATGCATAAATTAAAAATAAATGAGCTGCGATATGGTTTCCATTAAAACAAAAGCGATAAAAATAAAACTTGAGAATGGTTATCAGAGAAACATAATTCTTCATTGTTGAATTCTATTCGACGCAGAAAATTAACGGAAACATTAAATAAATGATGGATTATGAATTAGACATAAATTTAATTGCAGGTTTCAAAAATCATAACTGGTTGAAAAAAATTCCTAATCCCTCGGAGCCCTTGCAACACTTCCGCGGAACTCTAGGGTATCGCGGAACATTATCTGGAAACCGCTGGAGTAGACAAATGGGATATTTCTGTTATTTATTTCCCAAAAATTCTCTGTAAATTTTGGCCGAAAGGAAAAACAATGATTTATACCTTTGGTGAAAAAGTAATTTAATTTTTACTTTAATTGCAATTTTCGACTCTTTCGATTCATTGTTATTGATTTGATATCTATTTAAAGTTATTAATAGTGAAGAAATCACGATAGGGGATATTTTACGAATGAATATTTTTATTGCATATTTTATACTCATATTTGATTTGCCTTTTTTTAACTAACCAATAATAACCGTAAATTATTGGTTTCATAGAGCAAGTATGAACACTGACATATGTACGTTGAGCTATTGTATACAGTCATCAAAGGAAAAAAGAACGAAATGAAGACATTTAACGGTTGATAAGGCATTTGAATAATTCGTAGGACTTTCGCTCTGTAAAATGTTATGGCGATGTATCAAAGGAATCTCTAGAACTTTCCACAGCTATTCATTGCGTAAACTCATCAATCATTGCTGTTAAGTAAATTTGGCGCAAGATTATAAAATAAAGATAGTGGTTCTAAGATTTTCTTTCCTTGTAAAATCTAGGAGAAAAGTATTTTATATGTATCTACAGTATTTTCTTCTGACTGGAGTCCATCTAAGTACGAATTTGCCCAAACATAACATTCTGTTAATTACTTGTTATTTGGATTTTTTTTTAAGAAAAGGGAGACGGTAGGCACGTTTAAGGAAGTGCATGAACAGTTCAAACCTACCATTCTTCAATATTTTATTCGTATTTAATTCAAAATATTGAAACTCGCTGTTTATGAATTGATAATAATTTACATTTACACTTAATTTTAATGCTCCACTTGCTATCAGTGTTATCAAATCTAGGGTTTAGGAAACGGAGTGCTATATAATTTTATTAGCAATAGTCCTATAGTGGTTGTAAAATTTTTTTTAAATGAATCTGTGACTAGATTAGTAGTGAAGATAGTTAGTGAAACATTTTGAAGCTGAAGTACACAATCTAAATGCAATTAAATAATATACAACTATCTACTAGCGTTTAATTTTAAAAATGCTCTAAACCAAGGGCATTTCTTAATTTTTAAAGATAAATGATTAAATAAAGAATTAAATCTTTATTTTATTGACTGAATTGAATGACCTAGTATATGAAGTCTTGCAATTTGGCGATATAATCTCAAAATGGATTCTCATTTCAATGCTATCCAATAATTAATTTTTAAATTTTTAAGCCCTTTTTTTAATTATAAAATGGCATGAAAATCTATATTTAAGTTTAAAACAATCCAAAATTTATAATAGTATAACTTACATTAAAAACACTAATTAATAAAATAATTTATATTAAATTAATTAATGAAAATAATTTTATTTATCTAAGTTCCTTTCTTTACATACTAGCTGAATGACCATTGCTCACACAGGCACATGAAGCTGCGCGACTTCAGAGGACTAAAAGCCACTGAACGTGGACAGTTGCTGACCGGCGGAATGTAATATGGTCTGACGAATCACGCTTTTACCTTTATTCAAAATACGCACATCGTCTTATCCAACGAAGAGCAGATAAAACATTTCCTTTTGACTGTGTGCAAGGTCAGGTTTAAGCCGAAGGTGGGTCTGTCATGATTTGGGGGAGTTTTTTTATTATTATGGATTGGGCCCTCTCACTGAGGTGGCCACTAACATGAAACAACATGTTTATTTGAAC